ATAACAAGTGAACCATAAAAATGTACGACATTAATAATAGAGCAAACTGGTTGCAGGATATATGGGAATTCCATACTATCTTTGCAATTTTTCTGTAATCTAAAACTGTTCTAAATTTTAAAAGTTTATTATTGTTATTATATTTTTGAAAAGCTCGCCTGACTTGCTCTAGGTTGGAACTGGGACTAGAATCTAGGTCATTTGGATCTAAGTCATTTTCACTATTCGAGAGCTTCCATCACCACAACATGTAAGGCAAGTGTGTGTCTGTGGGTGTTGGAGGTCCAGGATGAGAGGGGTCCATAAGTACTATAACATGATGTCATTCAGGAAGATCAAGGCAATATGAAGCGTATGGAATTGGGCTGGAAGTATTTAAAGATTAAAAAAAAAAAATTCAACTGTTTGAAGCAATCAGGTGCCATGGAGCTAAGCATAGAGATACAGAAGCTGGTCAAACAGCAGGTAGTCAGGACACAGGCTAGAAGACTGGGATACAAAAGACCAGAGATCAGACAGATATGTTAGGACACACAAGATTATAATCTAGAATTATAGTAATAGGTATTGGGAATAAAAATAATAGTAATAGGCCAGGCGCGGTGGCTCACGCCTATAATTCCAGCAGTTTGGAAGGCCAAGGCAGGTGGATTACTTGAGTTCAGGAATTCAAGACCAGCCTAGCCAACATGGTGAAACCCTGCTTCTACCATAAAATACAAAAAGTAACTGGGTGTGGTGGCATATGCCTGTAATCCCAGCTACTCATGAGGCTGAGGCAGGAGAATTGCTTGAACCTGAACGGGAGGTGGAGCTTGCAGTGAGCTGAGATCACCCCACTCCACTCCAGCCTGGGCAACAGAGTGAGACTGTGTCTCAAAAAATAAAAAATAAAATAATTTACATTTACAATATACTTTGCACATAAAATTTTCACATATATTATTTATTTGATATTGAATTAAATATTGTACCTTTTGAGCCTCCTTTCCTAGGGTTGCCTAAGCTCACAGGTGAGGGGCAGCTAGGATAACCAGCTGGAATTGGGGAAGGGAAGAGGTGGGAAACCAAGCAGTTCCTGATACTTGCCTCCCGTCTTTCAAAAGTCTTTTCAGTTAGCCTTACCGTATTCTTAACTTTTTTCTGTTCCATAGTTTCATTTCCTCATGCTGTTCCTCCACATACCCTTCAACCATAAACCACTTCCTATCCGTATCACCACTTGGATCTCTCAATGAACTATTTGGAGTTCTTTCTCACTGACTTAAATGTCACCTATGCTCAGTACCTAGTCCTCTGAAGCGTTAAATATTAGGATATGTCAATCTCAACTGATGTACTATATATAACCAGTAACACAGCACTGTGCTTCTACTTCTAGAATTGGGCCAGTCTTACAGAATTAGCTACTATTTTGTATGACCGTGCAGCAAGGACTGCCTCTTCCCCTATCCCTCCAGCCACCCCTTGCAGTGAGCTCCTCCAGGCCAATGATCACGTTCCACTCACCTCTATATCTTTATTATCATAAGTGCTGGCATATAATAAGCCCTCAATTAAAAATAATTCAATTGGGCCGGGTGCGGTGGCTCAAGCCTGTAATCCCAGCACTTTGGGAGGCCGAGACGGGCGGATCACGAGGTCAGGAGATCAAGACCAGCCTGGCTAACACAGTGAAACCCCGTCTCTACTAAAAAATACAAAAAACTAGCCGGGCGAAGTGGCGGGCGTCTGTAGTCCCAGCTACCCGGGAGGCTGAGGCAGGAGAATGGCATGAACCCGGGAGGCGGAGCTTGCAGTGAGCCGAGATCAAGCCACTGCACTCCAGCCTGGGCGACAGAGCGAGACTCCGTTTCAAAAAAAAAAAATAATAATAATAATAATAATTCAATTGGAATTTGATGACTACCCTAATTCAAATTGCTTCTGTCTCCAAATTCTTTCTTCTCTGTACGGTTTTTCTCATTGCATACTGTTCTGGTTTGAGTTGTGTCTCTCAAAAAATGTTGAAGTTCTGACCTCTCCCCACCCTACCACCCCTGTGAGTGTGACCTTATTTGGAAACACCATCTTTGCAGATAATCAACTTAGGATGAGGGCAGTGGGTTGGGCCCTAATTCAATTATGACTGTGTCCTTATAAAAAGGGGAAATTTGGATATAGAGACATGTGCACACACAGGGAGCCTGCCACGTGAAGATGAGGGCAGAGATTAGGGGATGTCGCAGAAGCTAAAAAATGTCAAATGCCAAAGATTGTCCACAAACTATCAGAAAGCAGGAGAGAGGCAAGGAACAGATTCTCCTTCACAGTCCTCAGAAGGAACCAACCCTCCCAACCCCTTGATCTCAGACTTCTAGCCTGCAGAACTGTGAGATAATACCTCTCTGTTGGTTACACACAGTTTGTATTACTTTGTCATAGCAGCCCTAGGAAACTAATACACCACTTACCACCTTTACCTTCTAACTCTATCATTGCCTTTCTCCCTGACTAAAATGGAATCTCCATGGGGTCAGGACTCTTCATCTGTTTTGCTCATGCACGAATTCTCAACATGTAGAACAATGTCAGGCATGTGATAGCTCTCAATATTTGTTGAAAATGAGGAATGGAATTTTTCATATAAACCTAGACCTTGTTTTCATTTGAAAACAATCTACATAAAAATGTTCCCAGTAATAAAGCAATAACGGAAAACTTTAACAACTTAAAATAAAATATACTACCCTCTAGCTACTCTTTGAGAGAGGGATCCCAAACCCTGGGAAGCTGTATCTATTGCTGATTTCTACACCTCACTAGTGACAGAGTGCTTGGAACTGTGAATGTATAAGTGGAAGTTAGCAAAGGCCACCCCTCAGGGCTTCCCTTTGCTGCTTCTGGCTCTTTACTCTGCTTTTTTTCTGAAGGAAGTAAGGTAAGGTCAAGAATACAAAACCTGGCCAGGCACAGTGGCTGATTCCTGTAATCCCAGAACTTTGGGAGGCCGAGACGGGCGGATAGCTTGAGGTCAGGAGTTTGAGACCAAGCTGGACAACATGGTGAAACCCTGTCTCTACTAAAAACACAAAAATTTGTTGGGCGTGGTGGTGGGCACCTGTAATCCCAGCTACTCAGGAGGCTGAGGCACGAGAATCGGTTGAACCTGGAAGGCAGAGGTTGCAATGAGCCGAGATTGTGCCACTGGACTCCAGCCTGGGCGAGAGAACAAGACTCAGTATAAATAAATAAATAAACAAAACTCTTCTCCTCCTCATCTCCATTACTTTTCTTTTAGCATGGCCCCAAATATTTGAGTGGTTGAATGCATGTGTTCTGGACTTAAAAGAGGATAATTCCCATTTCTTTTTTCTCCTCGTCACTTGAAAAAAAGAAAAGAAAACGAAGAAAGCATTCACACCTACAAGAACTCTTCCAGTTTTTAGTTTTTTTTTTTTTCTCAGTATACTCAGTATTCCTCAACAGTCCTGGGAGGTAGGTATTATCTGATGGTGAGAAAACAGGCAGAGTGGTTACCACCTTGCACATGGCATGAAGAAACTGCAAGGCGTAGGAGCCAGGCCTCCTAAATCTCAATCCAGTGCTCCTTCCGTTCCGTTGGTCGTCACTGCACACGTTGTCTCTTTTTACGTCTGGGTGAAGAAAGGGTGGGTCCCAGAAACATGAAAGCGATTTGGTTTTACAATGGAAAGGAACAGAGACAAATCTGCAGGGCTTTCGACTCTGTAACCATTCCCTCTAGCATTTCCGTGGGGACTGTGGGCGAAGAGGAGAGGTCTGAGTTCCAGGGAGTAAGGACTGGCCCCCTGTTCCTTTCAGCGAATGAATGGTCTTTCTCCAAATACACACACAACACACACATAACCGGGGCCCCCAGCCATGAGAGTTGGTCTTGATAGAAATGGTCTGCCAGATTACTATAACAGGCTACTGGGGACCAGTTGTAGTTCAAAGACACCACAGATGAGGCAGGGATTAAACAAACAACAACAACAACAACAACTATGAAGATTATTCAACCAGGAACGAAAATGAGGGTGGGGAGAAGATAGAGGGTGAAGACTGCGCAGGGTTGGGAGTAGAAAGACCACATTTTTGTGCTGGATGTGCAAGGATCACCGTGAGGAGAGTGAGGGCGGCTTTGACCTTTTGATGCTGAGTTAAACTGCAGATACAGATTTTCCATGTAAGTACTCTGTCATTTTCAGGTGGCAACTGGAGAAACTTCAGGTGCCGACAATCACCAGGAGAGAACAGGACAGGAAAGAAGGCTGGGACAGAAGGGTAGCTGCATCTCTGCAAACGCACAGGTCTAGGAAAGAGGCACCTGGGCTGTCCCCTGGGGCTATCTCGTTTCAAAGTCACTTAAGTTTCTGTAGCTTATAAGCGGCTCCTGCCCTCCCGGCATGATGACACGGCTTTGCTGCAGACATCGAGGTGCTCGGAATGACCTTGGTGATCATCCTTAACCTCAAACTCCCGGTCCTGCATTGCCCATCTCCCGGGTCACTCCTGCTGACAAGGCTCTTCTGCAGTTCTGGGTTATTCTACAGTCTTTCAAGAGGGCTTCCCCTAATCCTCTCCCTAGGAATGTTTGGAAGGACGGGAGAAGCAGCCTCGAGGTTCCCATCGTTTACTCGGACACAGTGACGGCCCCCGCCCTACCACGGGGGCTAGGCTCCGCAGCAGAGTCCCGGGCTCGCTTCGGGGCCTGCGCCCGGGGTGTGCCGCGCCCTCGGGGCCAGTGTCCCGGGCGGGTTTCCGGGCCTCGGTAGCGCGGGAGGCGGCGGCGCCGGCTGGCAGGCTGATGATGATGATGCTCTGTGCTCGCAGCCGTTGGGAGGCAGCGTGAGCCTGAGAGAGCCCAGAGCAGCCGCGGTGGCCCAGCTGGAGCGCAGCCTCCTCCCGCTCCCATAATGCACAGGGCGGCGGCGGCGGCGGCGGCGGCAGCATCGCGGGCCGCCGAGGTGGCTGCGGCGGCGGCGGCGACCCCCAGGACCCCGGGCAGGTGGAGCGCTCGCGGCTGCTTGCCGTGAGCCCGGGAGTGATGGCTAGGCCCCCGCGGGCCGCCAGCGCCTGAGGCGCCCCGCCCTGCCCGGCCCCGCCCGGCCCTGCCCTGCTCCCCGCCGGCGGCTGCGGGCGCTTCCTAGTCCGCGCGGACGGCCGCCCAGGCGAGGTGCGGCCTCCGCACAGGCGGGGGGCGTAGGCGCGCGGAGCCCGCCATGGCTGCGTCGGAGCTCTACACAAAGGTAAGGCGCCCCGTGGCCGGCGTCGAGGACTGGGGCCGCGCGGCCCTCGCCGCCAGCTGTCAGGCTGGGGAGGGGGCGGGAGCGGCGGGCCCAGCGCCACCCCCTTCAGCGCTTCAGAACCCTCGGCCCTACCCGCCGGTCGCCCGCTGCAGCACTTTCCTGCAGCGGGCGAGATGGTTAAGGCGACAGAGGGAGGTCCGCCTCGGGGGTCTTCCCGGCTCCTGCTGCGCTGCTGGAGCTGGGGGCAGAGCGGGCTTCCGAGTGGAAAGGGGGCCCATGTGGATTTAGCAGGGCGGGCGTGCCTCCCCTCCTGCTTGGCTTTGGAAAATTCCCGGCGGGTGGGAGATGCTTGCTCCGGTAGATCGGATGGTTTCTCTCATGGGGACACGCGCTTAAAATAACGTCCTGTGTGGTATGCAGTGCTGCTTGTACCGCCAGCCAGCCTTTCTGTGAGGTTATTTTGAATCCTGCAAACGGTGGCCGTATCACCTTTAGCTCCCCGGTTTAGCTGCGCTGGGGGTGGCGAGCCCCGGGGAAAGATGTTGCCGGATGAACGCGAGCTGATTCACCGGCTGGGAGGGTCGGTACTCATTTGTCGCTGGGAGTTTGCAACCTGCGTGTAATCCCGCAGAGCCTTGTTAGGCTCCGTGTCTTCACATCCTCTGGGGCAAACCTTTCCCTTCTGGGTTTGCTTTAAGGGAAGTGGCAGTCTTTTCTTAGAGTGACATCAATATTCTCAGGGTCTGGCAATCTCTGAATGGCCTTTATGGAGAACTGTCACTTGAGTGCTGTGCAGATTTGTGATGACCTTTGTGAATATATGTAATCATGGCATTTTATACTATACACCCGTGTGTAGGTAGATATTTTGCCAACTATTGATTACTTCTACATGCAGTTAATAGAGTTGCCTTTTCACATTAGCATTTGCAATAGAACTTTCATTTAGGGTCCTGTAATCACTGGAATCATTGTTTCCAAATGTGACTCAAGTCCAGGGCCCAAGTTGCAGTGTGTTTTACAGAGGAAAGAATTCTGGACTGGGCATCGAGAGACCTGGATTCAAGCCGGGACCTTTTCACTTACTCACTGTGACCTTGGACAAGTCACTTAACATTTCTGGTTCGATTTCCTCATGAGTAAATAGAGTTAATTATACTTGCCTTTCATCCCTTACAAGCTGTTCTGATAATTAAACTTAATAATAGTTGTGAAAGCTTTTTGTAACGTATGAATTTCTCTGCAGATATGAGGTAATATGATTAATTTCTTCAACCATGAAATGAGGAACTTGCATGAAACATTCTCTGAGACCTCTTTCTTTCTAGTTTTAGGTTTAAGGACTGTCCAATTGGAACTTCTCTCTCAACCTGGTAATTTCTTTAGGCATTGCAGATCTCTGATGTGTGAACGAATGCAATTGGAAACTGATTAAAAGTAACTTAACAGACACTTAATATGGTGCTTACTATGTGCCAGGTACTGTTTTAAGCGTTTTAAAAATATGAACTCATAATCCTTATAAGGGACTTATGAGGTTGATATTAAGAAATATCAAAATCATTTTCACATGAAGAGATAATCGGTCTGTAAACATTCCTTGGTTACTTTGTGTAGCCCCTCCCCTCCACTTCTACATCAAGTTTGTCCAACCCGCAGCCCGTGGGCTGCATCCGGGCCCAGGACCGCTTTGAATGTGCCCCAACACAAATTCGTAAACTTTCTTAAAACATGAGATTTTTTTTTTTTTTTGCAATTTTTTTTTTAAGCTCATCATTTATCATTAGTGTATTTTATGTGTGGCCAAACACAGTTCTTCCAACGTGGCCCAGGGAAGCCAAAAGATTGGACACCCCCCATTGTATATGGTGAGCAGTCATCTTTGAGCTACCTAATAGTAGGCTGCTTAACTAGAGACTGATTGGATAATAAATTGTTGTTGGATTTTGAACACTTTTTCCCCCCAAGATGATTTGAGAGAAAAAATGGGAAAGATATTATGATTTGCAAATGGTAAAGTTTTGGGCTTCTGTCACAGCTTTATCACAATCTATTTTAAAATTTACCTTTTAACAGCCTGAGAAACATAGTGAGACCTGGTCTCTACAAAAAATTAAAAAATTAGGCTGGTCACTATGGCTCATGCCTGTAATCCCAACACGTTGCCGAGGTGGGTGGATCACCTGAGGTCAGGAGTTGGAGACCATCTTGACCAACTTGGCAAAACTCCGTCTCTACTAAAAATAGAAAATTAGCTGGGCGTGGTGGCGCATGCCTGTAATCCCAGCTGCTCAGGAGGCTGAGGCAGGAGAATCGCTTGAACCTGGAAGGCGGAGGTTGCAGTGAACAGAGATTGCACATTGCACTCAAGCCTGGGCAACAAGAGGGAAACTCGGTCTCAAAAAAAAAAAAAATTAAAAAATGAGCTGGGCGTTGTAGTCACGCCTGTGGTCCCAGCTACTCAAGAGCTGAGGCAGGAGGATCAGCTGAGGCAGGAAGATTGCTTGAGCCTGGGAGGTTGAGGCTGCAGCGAGCCATGATTGTGCCACTGCACTCCATTCTGGGCAAAAGGGCAAGAACATGTCTCAAAAAATTTTTTTTTCTTTTTAACCTCTTTCTCATTTTAAAACAGACTGGCTTAGAGAGCAAGACTGAAGTTGGGGCTTACACTGCCTTTTTCTAAATACACTTATGCCTAATTAATAATCTGGTTACTTGGTTGGTTGTTGGCTAATTCTTTTTGTGAATGGGCCTTAGCTTAATGGCAAGCGGAAATAGTTATCGGGCATCCTGGCATCCTATGTGCCAGGTACTTTGCTTAATGTTTATAACAGTGAACCAAATACAGTCCTTTCCCTCAACGTGCTCACAGTCTGCTTCTTACATTCTTGATCCGCTTTGAATCTATAGGGACATAAATAACCTTATTAGTAGAAGTTAGGGAATGGGTTGGGACATGGGGAAGATTGGGCTGATTCCAGAAATAAAAGCTACTATTGTAATTACTAGAGGAATAGGAAAATCATTAGAAGTATTATCAGTGGATAAGCACAAGGATCTTCCCCTTGCAGAGGGTTATAGGAAGGAAGTTCTAGGATAGATTACAAGGAAAGATGTATTAGTGACATGCCATAATTATGGTATTTAACATTGTGGTTAAATATGAAAAGTACCCTTTAAAAAAATGTCATTCAGATCTTAAGGGCAGATTTTGATGTGTGATACAGATCAGTTCCTATTACAGTGAAGGACAAGAGACTGTTCAGTTTCTTCTTTTTAGCCAGAATGATAATGGTTTTGTCACAGCAATTTAACAAGGCTTCCATTTTGTCAAAATTTCCTGCAGTATAAACATTTTCAGGGCAATAGCTAGGTTCTTGGGATACATTTCTGGAAACTAATATTTTGGTTGAAACATGTTTTGTTGATTTTTAAAAATAACAGCTTTATTGAGATATGAGTCTTATACCATATAATTCACCGTTTAAAGTGTACTATTCAATGGTTTTTGGTTTATTCACACAGTAGTATGTTGATTTGTTTGTGGGTCAACCTGTCTTACTCCCAAAAAAATTGAAGGAAACTATGATATCTCATTGCTTCTGATTTTGTAAATATTTGCTAGTCTTGACTTGTCAGTGCATATTTCTATCACCCATAGGTGCTTTTGGTAACTAGAAGCAATTCTACATTTGTGGAGTGGGGTTTATCAATTAGACCTAGAAGGATTACCGGCAGCATTATAATGAATGGCATGCTATTCCTCCTCTCATCATGTTCCCAGACACCATGGATAGCACCATAAATGCTGTAGAATGGTCAAGATTACCTGAAGCTGGGTTTTTTTTTTTTTTTAAATTTTTTTTTTTTTTTTTGAGACAGGGTCTCACTATGTCACCCAGGCTGGAGTGCAGTCAAAGTGAACATGGCTCACGGTAGCCTTTAACTCCTGGGTTCAAGCTATCCTCCCACCTCAGCCTCATGAGTAGCTGGGACCACAGTTATGCACCCAGCTAATTTTTAAATTTCTTCTAGAGATGGTCTCAGTATGTTGCTCAGGCTGGTCTTAAACTCCTGGACTCAAGTGATGCTCCTGCTTCCACCTCCCATAGTGTGGGATTACAGGCATGAGCCCCCCACATCCAGCCTATTTATTTATTTATTTATTTAGAGTCAGGGTCTTGCTCTGTTGTCCAGGCTGGAGTCCAGTGGTGTGAACATGGTTCACTGCAGTATCGACCTCCCAGGCGTAAGCCATCCTCCCACCTCACCTTCCTGGGTAGCTGAATCTACAGGCACGTGCTACCACACCCTGCTAATTTTTGTACTTTTTATAGAGACAGGGTCTTGCTATGTTGCCCAGGCTGGTCTCTAACTCCTCAGCTCAAGTGATGCTCCTGCCTCGGCCACCCAAAGTGTTGAGATTACAGACATGAGCCACCATGCCTGGCTTATTTTTAATTTTTAAAAAGTTTAAATTTTTTTGTTTACTTTTCTGTTTTGTTTTGTTTTTACTTGAAGCTGTTTGATTAGGAGGTTCCCATGTGTGCTAAGATGGTGAGTATTGTAACAGTGCAAAGACAATCTAAAATTCCACATTTGCAAAGCATGTTAACTTGCCTAGATGAAACAGCTCTTAAGGTTGGTAGATTGTATATGTGTAACTTTTGATTCCCAACATATCCTCTCACATGTACAGGAGCCACATGGCCTAGATGTTTTCTGGGATAGATCCACTTTTATATTCTATGGCACTGTCTCTTCAAACTATTGATCCTGGAAATTCTAATATTTTCATATTGAGACTATATTTCTCAGACTGCTTTCAACATCTTAAAGAGGAACAGAAATCTCATCTCTGATCATGTGCCCTGACTCGGAGTTTGGCAAGGACGTTAGCTGTCCTCAAGTCTCCTGTCACGCCCTTTCCATTTGAATTTCCTCCTGGTGTTCCTAGGCCTGTTAAAGGCATTGCTGTTCTCCTAGTTCCTCAGCTTGGA